TTCCAAACGAGGGATTGAGGCTCAGCCTGCCCTCAGTCACTCAGCTGCAAGAGGTGGGGTGGGGGTTGACCTTGCGGAGTCCTTCCTCCTAGGGGACCTTTCCGCAAAGCCCTGGATGGGCCTGACTTTCCTCCTAGGGTCCACATTGTGTTTCCAGTGTTCCAGCCTGGCCGGGTAGCTTCTGTTCCTCAATCAGTGTTTGCTCTCTATGAGCCCTTGTCTCTTGGCCTTGGCTTCACGCCACCTCTTCCTCAAGCTCCCACTCCCGTGGCTCCCTGTCACCCGTAAAAGCTGTCACAGGGCGGAGGATCAATATGGCGGCCTGCTGGGGAGCTCCAGGGTTTGCTGGGACCTAAGTGCTTCATGGCACCAGGCCTCACTTGGGCAGTCAGCCCTGGGTGGGGAGTGGGAGGGAACCCCAACCTCAGGTGAAGCAGCAGCTGGGTTGAGAGGAGTCTCCTGAGCACCATTTCACCCAAATCCCAGCATGGCCCTGACCCTGGCTCCTTGGAGCTGCTGCACCTCTGGAGCTCAGCCTGATGGAGGGCAGCTGGGGAGGGGCCACTGGACCTGATAAAGCAGTACTCTATGGGTGAGGCTGGGTGTCCCGAGCCCATCCACATAGGCTTGTGCACACTGCTCGGGCCCCAGGCAGAGGAGGGAGGTACCCAGCTTCCACGGGTCTCTCCTGGCGAGGAAGAATGATCCATAAGGAGAACAAGAAAAATGGCCCCCACTCCTACCTACCTCCAGATGAGACCTGGCAGAGAGGAGCCCTGCAGGACCCCCTACATTCCCAGGGACACCAGGAGGGGAGGCTGGGCAACAGAAGGAGGTGGGGCCATGGAGGGCAGGAGGGCCAGGCAGGTGGAGAAAAGGAGGAGAGAGAGTCTCAGAACGCAAGGAGTTGGTGGGAAAGCCCGGGTCTCAGCAGGGCAGCCGTGGGATGAAAGCTGTGGGATGAAAGCTGGGGCTCCTTTCTCTGTTCTTCCCGAGATGTGGCTCCGAGAGCCGCCGCCGCAGAACCCAGAAACCAGCAGCATGTGCCGCTCCCCAGCCTCATGCAGGGGGAGCGGGTGTGTGCATGTGAGTGTGTGCAAACACCCAGGCACTTGTGTGTGTGTGTGTGTGTGTGAGAGCACGTGTGTTTAGGGCCAAAGTCTCCTCTCTTCAGAGACTGCAGCAGATGTATACTGACATACAAGGGCCCAGAACCCTGATTTTGTGCTTCTGAGAGCAGAGCACCCCTGGAGTTAGTAATTCATTCCTTCTCTGCAGCACTGACAGCTGGGGGAGGTGAGGGGAACGCTGTGACGCTCCAGCTGTGGGCAGCGTTTGTGGGAAGGGCCCTTGGTATAGGGGTGGCCAGAGCTGAGAGGGAGCTTGGCAACAGGGCCTGGGTCAAAAGGTCAGATACTGCTCAGGGTAGAAAATGTTGGGGGTGGGTAACATGGTGACTGGGAAGAGGGAGGAGGAAGGAAACAGACATCTGCTGAGCACAGACCACAAGCCAGGCACTGCACTGGGCGACTCATATGTAGTATCTCATTTAATCCCAACACTCCTGTGAGGTGTCAGGGACCCCCATCCTACAGATGGGAAAGTGGGGCTCCAAAGAGCAGAGCTGGGACTTGAGCCCTGTGGTCTCCATGGCGCCACATGGCTCCTGGCACATTCCTGGGGGTATTTTGCAGAGTTGTCAAATGAGAGGTCTCTGCTTTGGGGACAGGGACTGGAGAAATAGGCAGAGTGGCTCAGAGGACATGCAGCTACCAGGGCCTGCGAGGGATGAACCGTGGGAGGAAAGGCTAATAGTGGTGCAGGTTGGGGGGTGGGGCTGCTCACGCAGAGCTGCCAGCAGACAGCCCCTGAGGTGGAATGGGCGCAACTTGGGCAGATACTTAAGGCCTTGGGAGTGAGTGCCCTTAAGGAGAGGAGCCTCTGCAAAGGTCCCTTCCCGGGGAGTGGTGAAGGCAGATGTCAGGAGCACAGCTAGGGGGGACCCAGGCCCTGGAGGGAGAGGCATGGGGTCACCAGAGGACCTCCCCACATCAGCCTCCTTTGCCATTCATGGAAGAGTCCCTGCCAGTGCCGCTCAGGGACTGGCTGCTCGGAGGCTGTTTCCTGCCCACTTACTCCACCAGGACACCATCCCCCTTAGAAGCACTCCACCGAGCCACGTCAGGCAGGAGGACCGGGTCCTCACGCCACACCCCTGTAGGCCAGAGGACCAGGTGAGACAGCTGCTTGTCGGCAAAGAGGTTTTCCTCTGGCTGGTTATGGGCTGAAGGAGAGACAAGAGGGGCACCCTGTAGATGGAGCGCCTTGATCTACAAAGGCCTGGGCCTTCCCAGGAGGGGTGGAGGGCAGGGAGCAGATGTGAGGGAAGGGGGACTGACTGGGGGTCAGAAGGTGGGCACAGACACCCCTTCCCTCTCCTTGTCCCTTTGTTGGCCAAGTCCCTTCTGGAGGGTTCTCTGGCCCAGAAGACAGTGACTTCCTCCCAGACCCCAGGGCTGATGGGCCTGGCCGGCCAGGCTCTTAGGTGATGAGGGTGAGACTTACCACCTGGGGCTTTGAGGCCAACCACCAGGCTCCCCTCAGAACCTCAGCACTCCTTGACCCAGATCTCACTGGCCCCGTATAGGCAGCCAGAATCAAACTGCAAGAAAAGCCCAAATTCTCTAAACCATTCACTTTCTCCTCACCAGCAAATGGCCCATCCGTCCCTCCCTCTCGCTGGCATGCTGGCTGCATGGCTTAGCCTGGCAATGGCACCCACCACCAGGGTGCTCGCAGGGTCTGGACTGGCAGCCGGGAAATTGTGCACACAGCCCCGCCAACGCAGGGCAGTGGAAGACAAGCAAGACAGGAGCTCTGGTGGGGGTTGTCTCCCTCTCCCAATTCCTGGTCCCGGGGTAAAACCCCTTCTCCTGCCCCTGCTTCCTGCTGCTGCCCCAGGAGAACCATAGGAAGGTTAGGAGAGGTGGGAAAGCCAGGCCACAGCTGTGAGGAAGGATGGGAGGAGCCCTCTGCATCTCCATGTTCCTGGTGCCCAGGACCCTCTGGGGGTCCAGGGACCAAAGATCCTCATCTTGCTTTACTGCATCCTCTCACCGCTCCCTCCACCAACGTCCTGGCCCACTCTTGTAGGACAGAGAGAAATTGGCTGGGCATTGCCTCAGTTACAGCCAGCCCAGAGAGGGCCACCCTCTTGGCTGTCAAGAGCTCCCAGGGAGTAGTTTCCCATGGGTGCTACCCACGGGATCCAGAGCATCCCTGGGTAGGAGTTGGAGGGGAGGGGAGACAGGATGCTTAAGCCATTCCTGTTGCTGACCCAGAGGGCTTAGTGACTTGCCCAAAGTCACTCAGCTAGTTAATGGCAGTCAGGATGGCACTTAACGGAACTTAGTTCTTCTGATTCAGAGCCAGCACTCCTTTCCTTGCAGTTGCTGGCCCTCACCTGACTTCCAATCTTGTCCCCAGAAACCCTTCCTTAGAGCCCACCTGCAGTCTCTGACGGCCCGCAGCCAAGCTCTTTGCTATGTGGGCACAGAGGAGGGGGAGCAGGTACCAGATGGCGCTCTTTGTGTCAGCATCCCCTGGCTGCCCACTGGGTCCCTGCTCCTCCTCTCATCATTTCCAGCCTGACTCTTGACCCTTTGCACTGTCCAGCTGCCAAGAACCTGTTTGTCATCAGCCCTTACATGGGGCAAAGCTCACACCCCAGTTACGACCTGTCCCTCCATCATCCCTTTGGCTCTCCCAACAACAAGGTGGGGGTTCTCATTGTTCTGGGCCCCATTGTACAGGTTAGGAGAGATGGTAAAGAGTCACAAGGCTGGTAAGAGGCAGAGCTGGAACTCATGCCTGGAGCTCCTGAGGCCAAATTGCATGCTCTTTCCACCCCACCTAGCCTGGAGTGTAAGGAAGACAAGCTCCACGCTGGCCCGGGCAATGCTGCCCGACCCATGGACAGCCTGAAGTCGAAGGTCCAGTCATACTTGCCACAGGCCTGGTTCCTTTGACCTTATTGCTGTTAGTCCCTACCTGGTTCCCAAGGCCTAAAGCCTGTATCTGTGTGTGTGTGTTTGTGTGTGTGTGTGTGTGTGTGTGTGTGAGTGTGTAGTGGTTCAAGTACAAAGAAGGAAAACATATTCGTCTAATAAAAGTATAAAATTCAGTTACACTAATTTAGAATCTGTGTTTTTTCAGAACAGGGACTGAATACCTCTTACTTGGGACGGAAAGGTGGAAGGAGATGGGAGGAGATGATTCCGATGGGAGGGGAGCATGCCCAACTCTCACAGCCCGCCCCCTCCTCTACACACACTTGACTTACCTGCGCCTTACACATTATTCCCAGTGAGCTAGGAACCTATGGTCCACGTTTTACCAGCCTAGAGCCTGCCTCTTTGGGCCCTTAGAGTAGTACAATCTCATTCCCTTTTTTGTAAAAAAGTGCATTTGGAACGAGCAGGCCTGGACATAGCTTCCTGACATCTGTGTGTGGCAGGACACCTGCAGGTGTGAATCCTGGACATTGAGGGTAACTGGGTGAGTTCTTCTCAACAGAAGAGAGGACGGGTCCCAACCAGGACCTTTGGCTTCACTCTGGCAGGAAGAGGCCCCTCTCCCCTGCTTGCACTGGGCCAGGGTGGAGGCCAGGCTGCCTGGGGCTGGTCTGGCACTGCTGGGTCCCGGAAAAGGGAGGCCAAGGCCTCCTCCATCTGCTTCTCCTCTCTCTGAGGAGGCAAGAGGTCCCGGAACTTTGTGTCCCTCAGGGCAGGGGGAGGATCCTCCCCAGTGAGTTCCGGGGTGGGGAGCGGGCGGGGGAGTGCCGCAGAAACGTCCTCCCACCTCTTGCATATCTCTCCAGCACCTCAGCCCTGTCCTCTGAGCCCAGTCAGGCCTAGGGGGGCCTTCCCGGGGCACCAGGCCCCAGGCATCCTCCCTGTGTCTTTGGGGGCAGTGGGCAGCCAGAGGGCCTGTCCTGTTACCTCCGGAAGCTCTTCTCGCCTGGTGGCCGGGAGCTGGGACGGGAGCTGGGGAGCAGTCCATCTGTCTCTTGGCTGTCCTTCTCTTCTTCTTGAAGGGACTCATCCCCCAGGAAGTCCCCATCATCCCAGGAGCCCACTGTTCCATCTGTGGCCTGGTACCGGACCTCCACGCACAGGCTGGTCTGGAGGGAGGGAGGTGGGTGGTGAGTAGCTGGGATAGCAAAAACAATCATACTCTGGTACCCTCTCCTGCTTTGTGATGTTTACAAAGTGCTTTCACACCCTTAACTCACTGGAGGAAGGCAAGCTGGGTATTATCCTCCCCTCACTCTCCCATTTTGCAGGTGAGAAAATAGAGGCTCAGAAAGACAGACAAGCACAGACTCAGTCAACTTCATGGGCTCTGACTCCAGAGCCCAGATCCTGCCGCACTTGGCTCTACTCTTCCTTGAGGGCGAGCCCGCCCAGCCAGCTGCAGGCTGGGGGTGGGCTCTCTGAGTCCACTGTATACGTAATCAAGAGGATCATTCAGGGTCCCCAGTGAGTAGGTCACCCCCTCGTCCTCAGAATCAGGGCACCCTGCAGGGGAGAGGGGTGGCCTGCCTGAAACCAGCTGACCGCCCCTTCCTCCTGATGCTCATGGGAGACGTGGTGACAGGAGCTGAGTGTGGCCTCCAGGAGAGGAGCCCAGGCCCTGGACGGCCTCCAGAGACAGGGGGTCAGCACTTCTTCCTGCTCCTCCGACACCCACCCTCCTACCCTGGGGAGGAAGGGAACTGGGAGTGCCCTGAGCTTTTCTCTGGGAGAAAGTGGAGCTCCAAACCTGGCCACAGGCCACGCACTTGAGAATCTTGATTCAGCTCTTGCTCTGTGTCCTTGGGCCACTTACCTCCTTTCGGCTCTAGTTTCTCACCAGTGCACAGGGAAGACTCATTCTAGTACCTTCCTCAGACCACAGGGGTGCAGGGAGGGCTCCCAGATGCACTTGCCCTTCCTCACAGGTCTGGGAGTGACTTGCTCCTGCGACCCACACAGGCAGCCTTTACTCAGTGCATGGGCCCATGAATGCCCACGCTTAGATTTCCCCAGGGAAGGAAAAGGTGCACATGCTTTCTGAACCCTCACTGTGCTAGACATCATGCTGAGATGCTTTAATGTAAACTCATTTGATCTTCTTAACACTTCAACCTACCCTACCTAACATATCAGAGAGGTTAAGTTAGTTGCTCAAAGTCACACAGCTAGGAAGTGCTTGAGCTGAGATTTGAGTCCAGGATGGCCCTCTCCAAGTCCCATGTCCTTTCCACTGAGTCAATGTGGCCCTTTGATGTGACGAAGTATGTTGTGGTGGGAAAATGGTGGCCTGGAATTGGAAGCCCTTGGTCCCAGTGGTGGCTTTGCTGTGGACCACCTGTCTGACCTTGACCAAATCCATTCCCTGTCCAGGACTTCAGGGTTCCCTTCCAAAAAATGGGCAGAAGTTGGGCAGGCTAGATGACCTGTAAGTCTTCTCCTCAGCTGAATTGCTAGATCTGATTCTAGAAACACAGGTCACGAGCTGACTGGCTGTTCATCCCTGCCCACGTGCCCAGTTCTCTCTCATCTCACTTCCTATTCTTATCTCACACTCTGCTCCTCCAGGCATCTATGTTCTCCTCCAAGTGCTCCATTCCCACTGATGTTCGCAGCATCCCCTCTTGTTCTGCATCCCCTCTCCCCTTGCTAAGGTGGCTGAGGCCCCAGCCCCGCTGATTTCCAGAAGCCTCTCCTGCCCGCACCTGTCCATGGAGAGAATAACCCAGCTGGGGCCAAGCTGAGAAGCCTCAGATGCTCTCCTTGTTCTCAGCAAGGAAGTGTCTTGAGACACCAAGGCACCATGGGAATTTCCGCCCCACCCTTGGCACTCCTCAGAGGGGGTTCTTCCCATTCTGGCTCCGTGTGGCTGCAGTCCTGCCCCCTGAGGCTACTCTGCTGACTATTATGTAGGGCCATACATTACACAGGACCCAGGTGGAAGACCCACGGTACAGCTCCATTTTACACATGGGTAAATTGAGGTCAGGAAATAATGCTAACAATATTATTTTGTATATTTATTGAGCACTTACTATGTGCTTAACTGTTCTAAGCACTTTCTGTGTATTCTTTTAATCTTCAGAACAATCCCATGAAGCAGATGCTATAATTTTGCTTACTTTGCAGATTACATGTAACCTGCTCAAGTCACACAGTGAGTGAGTGGCCTGACTAAGGTTTGTACCCTGGAGCTGTGTTCCTCAACACCGTACCATACTGCCCCTGAGTGAACTGAATGAGCTCGAGGGGACGGGTGCCTCACAGCAGGGCCTGGGCCTGGGCCCCTGGGTTGGTTTATTTCCTTCCACTGTGAGGACAGGCATTGAGTGCCTATGGACTGTGCATCACTAGTATGTGTGCTCACGCTGGAAGTGCTGGGATGAGATGTGACAAATGGAATAGAAAGGGAGGTCCCTGCCCTCCTGGAATGGCTCGTCTTAGAGAGGAGCCCAGACAGGCAGGCAGAGCGAAGATTGTGCCCTGGAGTGGCCAGCAGCGCTCAGTGTGACCTTCACATGACCAGAGAGGCCTCTTTAGTGACCCCTGAGCTGAGTCCAAATGGCAGGCCCTCTCAGTGGAGAAGGGAGGGCATCCCCCAGCCACTCTTCTCTTGTACTCTCACTGCAGGAAGGGCTGCAATGTCCGCCTTGGGGCAGCAGACCCTGCCATGCCCCAAGGCTCCGGCCACGCCACGGGGCTCCTCCTCCTGCCTCACCTCACCATCTATGAGGGGCACTCCCCAGACCACGCCCTGTTGGGGGGGGGGTTGAAGCAGGCCCCCAGGTGACCCCATAATGGGCAAGGCCAGGGACTCTCTGGGGCACACCCACCTTGATGATAGCATTGTTGTCATCAATCAGCGTGTCGGTCACCTCCACGTGGTTCTCCTCCACCACCTTCTGCAGCACCATGCGGAAGGTCCCGATTAGCCTGTGAAGAGCAGAGAGGGCATGGCGGTTTCTCGTGAAGAGGCCCGAGGGAAGAGCAAGGCTGACATCCCAGGAGGCTGTGACTGGCTGGAAAGGAGATGAATGGGCTGGAGAGAGGGAGGGCTTGCTCAGGCTCCGGGCCGGGCTTGGAGAAGGTGGCCCAGGACCAGGGATGGTCCTGGCCAGGGTAGCATGTCCAGGAGCGTACGTGACCCCTGACAACTGCGGGGTTGTGTGTACGGGATCCGTTTCTCTGGGAGAGCTTGAGAGCAGTGAGCACCCTGGGGAAATGCTCCTAGACTGGGGTCAGGGTAGAGTGGTGGAGCCTTGTGTTCCCTGGGGACGTGGAATCGGGGTTCGGCTGAGCCCCTGCAGAGCTACTCCCAGATGCCCAGGGTGGAGGCTGCTGGGGAAGGACCAGAGGCTCCTGGACACAAGAGCAGCGCCTCCCCTTTCCACCTCCCTAACCATGACCAAGGTCTCTACCAACACCACGGGCTCACTCATCCCCATTTAGTCCATAGTGACGCCCACACCTGCATTCTGCGATCTCCTTGAGGGCAGAGAGCCACGCGATTGTGGGACCCCCACATTCCCAGCTGCATAGCAGGGGAAAGGCAGCGCGGTTAGGGAAGAGCACAGTCTTAGAGTCAGAGAGATGGGGATTTGAAACCCAGCTCTGACACTTACTAAGCAAGTTACTGCTTCCTGGGCAACTTACTCAGCCTCTCACAGTTCCAGTTTTCTCCTTAGAGGAGCTAATAACCCCCACTTCCAGAGTTGTTGTTTGTAGGACGAACTGAGATCTCCGTGCCCAGTTCTCATCAGAGTGCCTAGCACATAGTCAGCACTCTGAAAGAAATCAGGTGGTTATCAAGGGGAGCCGCCACACTGTGAGCCTCGCCTGGGCAGGGGCTGCGTCCTATTTCCAGTACACAGGACATCTCGATATCTGCCAGCTGAATCAATGAACACAGTGGGCGCCCAATCAATGCTGACCGAGGCGCCTCGAGCCCCATTTCACCCTGTGGGCTGAAGGTTACTGCTCTGGGGGAGAACAGGGTCCTCAGAGAGGTGTTCTCACATGGGGCACATGAAAACACACACACTGTTTCTGGTTGAAGGGACAAAGGCTGAGGCGGGCAGCCACAGTGTGTGAGAGGTGGAGGGGCCTTGGAATCTTCTGGTGCTGACCTGGATTCATAGAAGAGGAAGCGAGGCGGAGGAAGTGGGAAGGGACACAGCTAATTAATGGCAAATCTGGGCAAGGTGAGGTATCAGGTAATTTCTGACTTTAGGATCATGTTCGATGTGTGCACCCTTCTGAATGCCACGGAGGGTGCCTCCGTCTGCGTGAGGGGAGGAAGCGGGGGATGAACACGAAGTGCTTCCCTCTCGAGCCTGGAGCCCCATCTGCCGGCTCGCCCCACCTTCCCTGTGGGTGAAACTGCTTACCATTCCCGACTCTAAAGACTGACTAGGCTTCTAGGCGCTTCTCAGACCTAGTCCCTGGGGAGCCTCCTCCCCTGGCTGCCTCCTGGCCTCTCCCCAGTTTGGGTGGTGCACGGAGAGAAGAAGCGCCCAGTCGGGGTCAGGAGACCTGAGTCTCAATTTTGTCTCTATAAAGTGAGCGGGGTGGGGGGGTGTGTTTGTAGCTTCTGTACAGTGTAGGCATTCCAAAAGCAGACTGTAGGCATGAAAGAGACACTAGCCTTTTCGCAGCCTTACTCGTTTTGGTTCTAAATCAGTGGTTCTCCCATTTCAGCATGAACAGAATCTTCTGGAGGGCTTGCTAAGACACAAATGACTTGGAGCCACCTACCCATGGTTGTGCTGGCAACTGTTTACCGACCGGATGGGGAGAGGAAAGGCAGTCCTGACTTGTAGCTCTTGTCCATTTCCATGGTGTCAATACTCCCTCTGCGGCCAATTTCAAGCTTCCAAAGTGAAGTCGCTGAACTCGGCGGTGGGAGAGATGTGCACCGTCTGCTCTTGGGGACCAGTAAGAGCCAGCTCCAGCTCACCACTGGCCCCACCCCTGGGGTCTGATTCAGAAGATGGGCGGGCCCGGAATGTGTGTTTCTCCCAAGCTGCCAGGCGATGCTGCTGGTGCTGCTGGGGAGGTCACTCTGAGAACCCGGGTCTACTGCACTTCACCCACTGGAGCTTCAGGCCATTTCAGTTCCACTAGGCCCCGTTGGGTGCCTGCTGAGTGCTGGACGCTCACGCATATCTTTCCCTAGAGGATGCCCCAGACCTCAGAGGCAGGCCCAAGGATCAGCAGAGATGCTGCAACGTGACAAGACATCCCCAGGGGGCAGGATGGAGCTAGTCCCCTGCAAGTCCTAACTAAGGCCAGAGTCTGGGACCTCAGACTTGGGAGGGGCCTGGGAGGAGAGCTGGTCCAGCACAAGTGAGGAGGAGTCCCCTCCACACCCTCCCTGACATAAGCTCTCAAGCCCCTGCACACACCAGGTGACAGGGATCTCACTGCTCCACAGCTGCTCTCACTGCTCGTCCATTCTGCCGCTGCTTCAGTCACACGGTGAGCCGAGGCCCACCTCCTGGCAAACCCCCTGCTCCTCACACCCTGGTCCAAGCCCTGTCCACATGCAGACTACATGCCATTCCTCACGGAAGGCAGTGTAGACAGTGGAAAGAGCCCGGGCTCTGAGTCAGACAGAGGTTGGGTTTGCCCAGCAGGGTCTAAGGGGGATTCTACTACTTGGCAGCGGTGTGACTTTTGCTAGTTCTCCAACCTCTCTGAGCTTTGCTTTTTTTCCATCTCCCCAAAGGAAATAATACCACCCTTTTCACTGGGAGGTGCGGAGAACACGCACGTGATGTTGGCCCCTCCTCCCCTCCTTAATGTGGGAGGTTTGCCATCTGGAGGGCCCAACACAGCGCTGGGCTCCTTTGCAGATGCACAGCCTCACAGAGCCAGTGCCTGTCTGTGGCCCAGAGGGCGGGGCTGGGACCCTGAGAGCTGGCACGCCCAAAGAAATCGGCTTTCCACAGCCCCGGGGGCAGCTGGGGGGCTTTAACTCTTCATAGTTCCTTCCGACCTCCCGCAAACAAAGATAAAAATAGTATTCTTTCAAATGGACAATTGATATTGTCTCAGTCTTATGTAAAGTAAGAAGAAAAGCATTTTTATAAAACTTTGCTCTTTTTACGCGTCTGTAATGTACCATCGAAGCAAAACCAGGGTGCTTGCTCTGGAAACACAGCTTCCAAGCCAGTGCTCTAAGGCTGCTTCTGCCCGAACACAGCCCCTAGCCCCCTCCATGGACATCCTCTGGGGAGGGGTCTGGTGCAGGGACGAAGCCCCAGCTCTGGCCTGCGTGGTGACCCCTGGAGATCACCCTGCCCAGGCTGGCGACCCTTTGTCCAGCCTGGCTGCAAACTCAGCAGGGTCTGCCTATGGCCTCTGCTCCTCAGGGTGGGTCGGCAGGGGAGGAGCTGCCTGGGAGGGTGGGCTTACATGCCCTTGGGCAGCTGGAAAGCAGAGGTGCAAGGCCATTTGTTCTGCCAGGAGGAGCCCTGGCCCAGGGGGACAGAAGGTCTGGGTTGAAAATCTGCTCTGCCTGACCCTCCTGGGTGACCCTGGGCAAGAGCTCTCTCTGGGTCTCAGTTTTCCCCAGGCTGTTAGGTGAAGGAGCTGGGAGCCAACCCTCTGTCCTCTGACAACATCCCTTAGGAAGCCCATCCAGGTTACTCATTGCAAAGAGGACACCCCCCACGGGGCCCACAGCTGGCCCATGAGGCCCGGTTGGCCCCACAGAGTGGCTGGGCAGGCTGGGCAGGGCCAGGATCCCCAGGTAATTAGCCAGCAGGGAGGGGGCCCCAGACACTGATGGGCCTGCAGACTGACCACAATAGAGCCAATAGAGCCGCAGCCAAGCCTCGGGACCTGTCAATAATGCATCACTTTCCCCTGGGAGCCGGTGTCAAGTGCCCAGCCAGGCTTCCACTGCGTTCCTGGTTCCTGAATTATTCAGAAGCTCCAGGAGACTGGCGCCTGGGCCAGGCCATCCCCCCTCAAGGGTCCTGGATAGTCTGAAGGGGACACGCAAGGTTCCTGGACCCAATACCTTGTCCTCACTGGGACGTCCAAGGTTCCTGAAGAAGGACCTATTCAAGGCGGGGCAGAGCAGACCTGGGGCCTCCTGGTCCCTGACTAGGACACTTTCGTCTTCACACGGGGCCTCTTCCTCTCGGCAGCCCCTAGAACCACTGGGTGAGGGGCCAGTTTCCAAGCTGCCTTCTGCTTCAAGGACAAGTCCGTGTCTCTGCGATGGCCTGTGATGGGAGGAGGCCCATAGGCGTCCTTTTCTCACACCAGCCTCCTTTACCTCGCTTTCCCCAAATGCATCGCTCACATGACTTGGCTCTCACCCTGGGGTGTCCTGGACTCTTCAGAGAAGAAGGGCCACTCTGATTCCTGCTCCCAGACCCTCCCACCCTGTACACCCTCTGCCTCCTGACCCCACGGGGCATTTTTTCATTCACTCATCCACAAGGTACTCAGGGGCCTGCCAGGTGCCCAGCAGCGGGTGTGGCTTCGCTGGTTGGTAAGTCCAGTGCACACCCCGCAGGCTTCCCCTCAGCTCAGCTGACCCATGAGAAGAAGCCTGGTGACTGAACTGGGCCACAGTGGGGACAGAGGGCTGTCACATTCACAGCCCCTCTGCCCTTATTCGGGCAAACACCAGGTGGGCCTTTTCTTTGGCTCTGGGAAACAGAGCCCTGATTCTAGGGTGGGGAGACCTGAGCCCCACCTGCCTCCAAGCACCCCGCCCTCCCACTCCGACCCCTCAAGCTGGCCTGGGTCAGGATGGGCCCCGGGCACCCCTCAAGACGGCCAGTCCATCTCCCCACCCCAGCTCTGCAGCCAGCAGCGCCCTGGACATTCTTCAGGCTTCCGAGGGGCTGGCGGGACACTCTCCCACCAGGCCCAGGCCTCCCCTTGGGGGGTTTCCTGCCTTCCCTTGGGTTGGGGCAGGGGAGGTGAGGAGAGAGGAAGAAGAGGAGAATCAGGAGAGAAACTCTCCCCTTCTGTCTCCCTCTTGTTGGCATTTTAGAACAACTAACGGAAGGCTTACATTTCAGCATATTCGCTGTTATGGTTTCCAATTTCTCAAACACTTCTGATTTGTTTATAGCAGGAGTTTTGATGTTTTCAAGGGTTCCTAGCATTTCAGTGATTGGTCCAGCAGATTTCATCGTAAACAATTTACCAGTCTCTTCCGTATGCTTGGTTTCCACCCTCACTGCTCACACACCCTACGAGTTGGAGGATCAGGAAGGTGAGGAAGAAGACATCCACCCCAGCCCCAGCCCCACCACTCTCTGCCCACGTGGCCTCTGTACCCTCTCAGAGACTCAGTTTCCCCATCCGCACAGTGAGGCTTGCACTGGCTGAGCTCTAATGCTCCTGGCTGCTCTGACCCCTATGTATGGGTCCCTGCTAGGGTGTCTGGATGCCCTTCCTGGCTCTCAGCTTGTGATTCTGCTTCCTCTTCCACATCCACTTTGGTCTGTGTGTGGCCCTTCTCCTGTTCCTGTTTCTCCTGTCCTCACAGGTCACCCAGTCTCTCACCCCAGGGAAGAAGGTTGTGCTCCATTTTGTGGGCCCCTTGCAGGGTGTTTCGCCAGCTCTTCTTGCGGGTGTCAGAGGCAGCTGCCTGAATGACATGATACCCTGAGAGGCCAAAGGGAGGCCTCTCTGCCCTAAACATCTTCCCCTGTGGCCCTGCCAGCAGGCCTGAAACGACCACACTGCACGCTCAGCTGAGATCTTGTGGGCTCCCACTACAAATGGCAGAATCCTGGGAGCCCATGTAGTTCAGCTTGTCCTGATTCAGAAATCGCCTCTACAACATTGTGGTCCACTCTCTGCTCAGCTTCGCGCAGCACAGGGAGCTCACTACTTCCCAACACAGCTCATTGGTTGGAGATCTCTGTCCATCTTCTAGCCGTCTGCTCTCTTCTAGCAATGTAGCCTGGTCCTGGTCCTGGTTCTAGGCGCACATCTCTCTTTCCTCTTCCACGTGGCAGGAAACCTTCTTGGGATGCAGGGAGGGTGACTTAATCCCTCAGCTTAGTATCTCCAGTGACTAGCACAGTGTCTGCCTGGTACAGAGGATTTGCTCAGTAAATGTTTGATGAGTGACTGGAAGAGTGGATGGATGGATGGGTGGATGGGTGGATGGGTGGATGGGTAGATGGATGGATGGATGAGTGGGTGGGTGGGTGGGTGGATGGATGGACAGATGGATGGATGGATGGGTGGATGGATGAACATGTCCTCTATGATTTTCTTCTCCAGGTTCTCATCCTCTTGTTATAAGGTGAGATTTAAAGTCCCTTTAACAACAAGGCAGTGTCTGGCAACAACAAGGTGGCGTCTGCAGGTGTTCTCTCCAAGCAGCACGAGGATAGTGGAACCCTTGCCTCTCCAGCTGTGATTGCTCTATTTCTATTAATATGAGCTGCGATTAGGCCAGCTTTTCTTCTGTTTGTAGTCTTCTCCCTTGCTGAGTCATACTGAGCTCTCAGTGAGAGTAAACCCCCTTTTTGGGCAGGTTGCTTTTCAGCCACGCCTCCCCCCCGCCATCTTGTATAAGGGCAACTGATTTTGTAACCCAAGACAGGACTTTACATTTCTTATATTTAGCCACCATTCTAGACTGTTCAAATCATTCTGAATTCTGCTTGTCACCCAGAAAGAAGGATGGGAACTGCTCTTACTGAACCCCTAGCAGCAATAGTGCTCACGTGGTAGGTGCACTTCATTGGGGAATGTAAGCTCTCTGAGAGTAGGGCTATCCTCAGCACCTAGTTCAGTGCAGGACACACAGGAGACACTTGGTAATGAATGAATGGGGAATGAATGAATGAACAAACAAACATCTATCTCATTGATTTCTTATAGCTTCCCTTTGAGGTGAGTACTTATCTTTTTCACACATGAGTACACATGGAACTCAGAGAGGTATGTAACCTGCCCCGGTTCACACAGCAGATGACTGACTCCTAGAGACCAGGTTTGCCTGAGCCCTAAACCACCATACCAAACTGCCTTTTGGCAAGTTTGCCCTCAAGGCTACAAATGGTCTATTGGAGGATGTTATCAGCCATTACTTTCACTTCTCTCTTGGGTAACTGTCACCCAGCATGGTGCAAGGGGGAGACTTTAAGAGGGGGACTGGGAGCTGTGATGGGGCTGGGGACAGAAGGGGTGAACGGGACGGTGGGGTGCTCTTGGCTGACAACGGTTGGGAGGGCTGGGGACTCCGAGGACAACATGAGGGAGTGGGGGGCGGTTGAAGGTCAATGCAGGGCAGGTGAGAGTGCAGGTCCCCCTTTTAAACCCAAAGGAGAGGGCAGCCTAAGGAGCAGGGCCGGCCCCCGGCCCCTCTGGGCCCCACCCCACACTTACCTGTTGCTGAAGACTTTGCTGTAGTTGAAGATCTGAATCTCGAGTATCTCGTTGCTGTCGATGCTGCTGGCCACTGGCCACCGGAAGGTCTAGGGAGAGAGGGACAGCTGTGGCCTCGGGTGGGAGTGACAGGGAGGGTGTGGGGAGAGGGAGGGGCATTCATGGTAGGGTGGCCCCTCATGTTGGCCCAGGGCTCCACAGGGACAAAGTTCACACCAGGAATCTCATTTAATTCCAACCACCACCTTGTAGTGCGGGTATTGTTGCCCGCTCCTGTTTCAAAGATGGCGCTCGGAGAAGTCCAGTGGCCTGCTCAAGGTCATATAGTAAGTGGAAGAACCTAGAACTAACCAGGACTTCTGACTCTCAGTCCAGTGCTCTGTCCACTGCCTCACCGCAGCCTCCCAAGTCCTGGGGTGCACTTGTGAGGGGGTGGTGCCACCGGGGGCTGGGCTCCAGGGCACAGCAAGGATCATGGGGTGTAAGCTTGGCTTTTGCTGTGTGCGGAGTGGAGTTGTAAGTTCCCAGCTGCCTCCTGTCAGAATCACGTGACCTGTCCAAACTCTGCTTTGAGTGGGAGGTCCTGGCGCCCACATTCACACCAGACCACCCCTCACACTGGCAATGTTAACACACTGGGACAGACTCGAGCTGTTTAGTGGAATTAGGGACACAGACGAGGGACAGCCTGGCCCCAACTCAACCGTTTCTAGATTTACCCTCACCGCTTCTGTCTTGGCGTCCTTATTGAATCAATAATAATGATGAACAGGAAGCTGAGTGGGATTTTGCCTGATGCCCTAGAAATGGCAACGAGAGACCAAGACAGAGGCCAAAGGTGCCATGCGGCTTCCTCTTCCTGCAGGCGCCCCATCCTGTAAAGACAGCTGCCAACAGGCAGAGCCAGGCACCTCCCTTGGGGCTTCCTTAAAGGCCTGCTGCCCCCACCCATCACCCCAGCCCTCCTGCTTCCTGGGATTTAAAGGAAGACTGGGGAAGGGAAAGGTGGAAAGACTTACATCCCAGGTGCAGTGTTTTTGTGGCACTTTCCTGGGAGAATAGCTCAGAGACGTTGAGGCACCCACAGGAAGCGGAACTTGGCATGCTAGTTCCCACCCAGTGATATCTGACTAGTCTGTCCCCTGAGCAGGAGACCCACGGAGCATCATGGGACAAGGACAGCGGCCATGAAGGAGCCTGGTGGGCCTCTCTTGGGTGCGTCAAGTGTGCTCTGTGGCCAACTGGTGCTGTGAAGGGTAGTCAGGCTTGAGCCTGCCTGCCGCAGGAGCCAGGGTGGGGTGGGGCCGAGTATCCTATGTTGGGAATCCATACTGTGTGGCAGGCTGCTCAGGTCTCCACAGAGCCCACACACACTGTGTCCCAGGAGCCAGCATTTGCAGGTCTGCCATGCTGATGGCTTCCGGGCTGGTTGGAGTTCACCAGAGAAGCCACAACACCACAAGGAGGGGCCACGTCATAGCGAGACCAAGGATTAAACCACGTGCCCCACCCTCAGCTGGAGGGGAAGGAGGATGTGCAGGGCCTGAGCAGGGGTCCGTGTCCCACTCTGTGTCTTGAACCACAAGCCTGAGAGAAGGGAGAAGATCAGGTGTGGAGAGGATGCCAGATTGGCGTGGGAAACCCTCTGGACTGGACTATGAGTATGACCAGAAAATGAGCAGGGAGCTCTGAGGTCTGCTCAGACTGCCAGTGCGACACGGTATCCAGGGGATTTTGACAGAGCACGGGGAATGCAGTGACTTTCTAAAGTTTCATTTTTAAACCCCACCAAATTCAGACTGCTCAACAGGCCAGTAATAAATAACAGTAGTAATAGTAATAACAGCTTCCTCTTAGAAAGAACAGTGCATTATGCAGGGCCTGAGTGCTTTAGATGCATTAATTCCTTTAGTCTTTACAGCAACCCAAGAGGTTGGGAACATGTTCTCTTCTATCGACATGGACACTCGGGCTCAGGAGGAACGTGGTTCAGAGACTCTGTTGTTAGCGGCTGAGCAGGCTCTGGGAGCTTCTGGGAGCCCACCCTGCAGGGCTGCCACCTCAAAGCTGGGCTTCCTTCTCCCAGATTGGAGCCTGGGGACTTGGGGGGCACAGGGCCAGCGGGGCAGGTCACTGCCCAGTGTGGGCGGGGCTTGTCTCTGGAAGATGGCCTTCATGTCCCCTCTCTTCAGGCCTGGCCAAGTGTTGGGGAGGGCCCTGACATCCCTGACAGTGCATGGAGCAGGCAGGTGAAGGAGGGAGAGGCCTGGGCTGGAGGGGGAGGGTTCTGAGCAGGGCCTGGGGAGGACTTTGGAGGCCTCGGACAAGGCGGAATGGCTGGAGAGGGCGGCCCGGAAGAGCGGCAGCCGGCTCTCTTCGCAGGCCTCATTAAGCAGCTCCTGCTCCCACTGTCTGGATGCTCCAGCTCAGCTGACTGTGTGGTTTTCCTAATGAAGTTGATTTTATTGGGCTGCAGGGAAATAAACCAGCTCAGGAAGGCCCAGCTCATTAGCCACGTTGCTGAGGCAGGTGCTGAGGCGAGAGAGCTGGGGGAGCCACCAAAATTTCGGTTTTCTTGGGATGAAGGGGGCAGGGGTGTTTGATCCACCTGAGGGTCTGTGGGTAGGATTTTGGCTTGAGAAGGAGAGAGAAATTAGGAGAAAAAGGAAGTGACTGTGGAAATGGCATCATTAGAGGAAGGGGGAGTTGAACAGTGATGTTAATTAGGTGAACACAAAGGAACAGCGGAAGTCATTTTGAGGAAAAGAGACCCAGGGAAGGAAGCTGCTTGTGACTCCTGCTGGCCCATCATGAGGTGCTGCCTTGCCAAGTGATTGGGGTACAATTCATGGGGTCACAAGGGCCACCAGGAAGAAGGAGTCCACTGGAATAAGAAGGCTGCCGCTGTGGGCCCATTTGCTGAGGAGAGAGGAGGGGAGTCAGGGAGGGCTGGGGAGGGGCGCCTCGGGGAGCCCTGACCAGAGATGAGACCCCACAGGAAGCAGACGTGGCCATAAGGCTTGGGGCGCCCTTTCGAGAACTTTTCAGAAACACATTTAGCGTTGTTTCCGGGAAGGAGCCTTGGGTGGAGGGAACATGAGGAAGCAAATGTGAGAGCCGGTTGGGGTGGCAGGACTGTGGATGCCAGACTGCAGCCGCCTCAGAGGCCCTCGGTGAGGGGAGGGGAGGGACGGCCTGACCTGGCAGCTTCTTTCATCTCTGACTCCCTCAGGACTTCCTCCCTCTCCTCTCTCTTCCACCCGCCCCCACCTTTGTGATGTGCCACCCCACCGCACTCTCCCCGTCTGTCTCCCTTCTCTCTCTGCACTCTTCTCCTCATGGCCACTTTAATCTGACACCAGGTTTTTCAGTCTCTGTCACTCTCTTTCTCTGTCACTGTCTCTGTCACTCTCTCTGTCACTCTGTCTTTCTGTCCGTCACTGTCTCTGTCTGTCACTGTCTCTGTCACTCTGTCTCTGTCTGTCATTCTGTTTCTGTCACTCTGTCTCTGTCACTCTCTGTCTCTCTGTCACTCTCTGTCTCTGTCATTCTATCTCTCTATCACTGTCTCTGTCACTGTCTCTGTCACTGTTTCTGTCACTCTCTCTCTGTCTCTGTCTGTTACTCTGTCACTCTGTCTCTGTCTCTGAGTGGTTCTCAATCCTGGCAGCACACTAGAATCACCTCTGGAAGCTTTTGACAGTCCCCTGCATTTGAGACTGATTGAACTGAGCCTGGGGGGGTGCAAGTGGGGTCAGTGTGGTAAGAGCTCCCAGGCCATTCCCGGGCGGCCCAGTCTTTGCTCAAGGGAAAGACCCTCCCAGGAAAGCACAGCACAGCACCCCCACCCCGACCTGTGCATCTCTCCCCTCCCCCAGAGGGTGGGCCCTGCAGGGCTTCTAATGCACACCCAGCCTCCAGCTCAAGGGAAGAGACTTGAGGAGGAGACTTGGGGCCCAGGGCTGTCTTTGCTACTTCCGCTTGGCCTCCTTAGAAGCTGAGGCCTGGGCTTTGGTTTGGTCTGAATTTTCCTTGGCTAGTTCCTCTATTTTTACCTCTCCAAGGTCGGGACCCCCTTTCCTAGCCCCCAAAGCCCCTCTGTCTGTTGCCTACGCCGCATTTCCAGCCCTACCGCCACTGCTGCCCCTTCCTTCTGCAAACGTCTACAGAGCTCTGGAACGGCAGTGAGCACGGCAGGAAGGGTCTCCTTTCACTGGTCACTTCTCTTAGCTCTTCTGACAACTAAGAGCGTTTGCCCTGGCTTGGCCACCAGTTAGCTTTGTGACTGGAGGCCACTATGTCACTCTCCCGTGCCTGCGCTTCCTCATCTGCAAAGTGGGAGTGACAAAGTCTACCTCACAGCTTGTTGAGAGAACCAGATGAGGTCACACGGGTGTCAGGACTTTATAAGCGACACAACACTGCAGAAACCGGAGGCACAACTTACTTTCTTTTTTCTGTGGCTGATGCCCTCGCCTCCCTGACCTTCCGCCTCCTCTCCCTCCCCTCTCTCACTTTCTGGCCACCTCTTCTGCCTCAGCCTGTTAGTTTCCTATTTCTCTTTTACCAGAAAAAATTTTACCCTCATCGTCCCCTCATTTTTGCTGTGACTTCCTTTCTGCCGGTTGGGGTGATAGGTACCCACATGCGCAGAGAACGTAGCAAGACCAGAGGGGAGGTTTCGGGGCTCAGGAGCTCCCGGGCCTGTCCATGCCCACTCAGAACACGGGGAGCACATCTGGGTATAATGAGGTACTTCTCTGAGCACTTTTCCCTGATAACCAAGGCCCACAGCAACATGGCCGAAGTGTGCTGCTTTTACATGTGGGGAAGTGGAGGGTGTGAGAGTTGTCCCAGGGAACACAGCTGATTGTGGCAGAGGCAGGATTCGAACTCAAGTTTCTGGATGCTTAGCTCAGAGCTTAATCCACTACGCTGGACCCTCTCCTGAAGCCAGGGAGATTAGCTGAGGCCGAATCTCGGGGGGGTGGGGGGTGGTCTGTGACTCTGACCATCCTTCTAGGTTGTCAGCAACAAAAACATTTATTTATTGAGTGCTGACCATGTACCGGGCACTGGCTACATGCTT